GTAAACGGTTAGTCAGTATGTAGCTTCTTGTTCAGACTGATTTAAGTAAATTTCGTCTGATCTCAACAGATAACAGTCAATTAAAATTAATTAATCTTATGGTGTTATAATTACTATTTGATACATTTCACATCATTATCATAGTAACGGATATAAAAAGTATCATTGTTACCAGAATTACATTCAAATCACATTTTAAAACAAATATGATTACAAGTAGTGAATACATATACCGATGGATCAGTTCTAAATCAGTCTAATGTTTTAATAATTTCATTTAATCAAGATTCATTATGGTTCGTGTTTTTTTTATTTATTTATAAAAACAAACTGAACTACTACAATGTAATTTAGAGTGTGATATTTCAATTTAAACTGGTGATACACTGACATATATGTGTGTATATTCAAAGGTCATTTGTCGTGTATCAATTATGAAACACTAGGAATCAAAATCAACTTATAAACATGGTCTCTGTAATCTGAATCAGATTACAAAATGAAATTTAGTTATGATATATAGTAGTAAAGTCATGTATAAACAAATAAAAATTAAATTATATGAAATAGAAACGACACTAAAAATTGATCGATTCGATCTAACCTTTCTTTGTTAATATGAATCTGTCAAAAAGATTATTTGATTGTATCAGTGCTAAGAAAGAGAAAGTTATTTATTGCATAATTAGTTGACGATAAACGTCCAGTAATAAAAATAAATTACATTATATTGGGTCATATGCACTTTCCAACATGATCAAATAAGTATTTCGTAACAAATTAGCAGTATGTACAAAAATAAGCTAACTAATTTAAGAGTCAAATCAAGTGTTTTCAAGATTCGTCTTGAGAGACAAGAATAAAACGTCGATCAGATTAAACAAGCTTCGGGTAATTATCTTTGGGAATCCAAACGATAACATTTCAAGTGTGTAGTATGTTTAGAAGCTTTGTACCACATATGTGAACGTATGTTTTCTTTCAAATTCAAACGTTCTGTTGTACAATTAATGTTTTTTATACACATATAAAATTATTTTAATAGTTGAGATCTTGAGTGGATTGAAGCTAGACCACCATGGAAAATCAGGAAGCACTGGATGGCCGTTTCGTCCAACTGTGAAACTCCTCAGCATTACTCATCCACGATCACACCTCGCGAGATTCAAACCCAGGACTTATTGGTCTCGCGCGCGAGCGCTTAAACTCTAGACCACTGAGCCAACAGTGTTAATGTTGATGTCTAACTTCGACTAATCCACGAAATTGAGCGACACATCCACCACTGTCTTCAGTGAGTTACTATCTCACAATAGACCCGCTCGAACTTCAATTGTCACTGATTCTCACTAGAACTCCGGGATATACCTCTTGAAGTCAGTCATTGGTGAGCATATGTTGATGAATATTAAAAGGGGTTTCTGTGGACATTACAAATTGAAAAGATTTATTTACTGATTACTATTGTTAATATTTTAATAAATGATAAATTCTGAAATCTTAAATGTCCATGTGTAATATAAACTCATAAAAGTTTTTAAAAATAAAAGTTTTACGTTATTCGCTTTCTTCTTAATGTCTACATCTATTTTCGGGTACATATATATCACATTTATAAGCTATAAATTTACAAGAGATTGATTTTGCTTTTCATAGAATTCGTGTACAAAATTTCTAGCGTTTCGCAGAATTTATTCAAACGCATCCGTTAGAAAAGTTTCTGTACTGAACGTTTTATCCAGGAAGTATAGTTGAAATATAGTAGAATGACTGTAATGCTAGAGGAAGTTATTTTAAAATAAATATTTTCGTAAGAATTTTTATGAGATCTACACTGGCACGTAATTGAAATATGTAGAAGTCTGAAGGTAACGCGTTTGCCGCGAAGCCTGAAAGTGGTAGGTTGGATCCATATTGATGTCGTTGATGGTCAAAACTGAGAAGACTTTTACTAGGACGAAACAGATGATTTACTTTCGAGACTTTCATGCATCTTTTTTTTACAAACAAAAGCTTAAAGATTATCACTTATTCTAGATTAAATTTTAGGATATCCTGATACTCGAAATAGATACATGGCGTTAGAACTTTGATAAGTATTAGTGGTAAGGTTTGCATGCTGAGTAGGATTCAGCAAATTCTAAGAATAATATATATTCACTGAAAGAATACGGTTTCATCAAAAACTATGGGTAATTTGATAGTTCAGGTCTAGTTGAGAAAAACAATTAAAACAGGTAAACATTTAACTTATCACTATCAGCAGTGATAAAAAAATGCTATTTATATTAAAATTACACATCCGTGTGATACCTAATTTGTGTACTTCAAAAGACGAAAGTATAAAAAATTGTCAGGAATATGTTTTCATCCCACTGATATCCACAAGAGATGAATTGATGGCAGAGATCAATCGAAGGCTGACAAGTAACGCCCAGTAGTACATCTCCAATTAATACAATATGATGTTCAGTAAAGGAAATGTAAACAGACACGTCACCTATAATGCAAAATGAATTTATGGGTATTGTAGAGATAAAACGGTAGACATCTAATAATATTTTTGAGAATAGTTTTAGAAAATCTGGTTCAGAGGTGAGAATATTATTTATAGCTAGATTGCATTAACCATGCTGGATACAATGCCAAAGAGAGATATAGTAAGTTCATTGAGAGTAAACAGTAAATAATATAACTCTATCCTACTGAGTTCCACAGAAGCCATAACGCATAACTAGTTATAACTTTGTCTTCATCTTTCAAAAGAGTTATTAATAAAACTTTAATCCTTTTGTTAGAGGTAGTAATCCATTTAAATAAATTCTTTCCATCTTTTGACTACTTATTCAATTAAATTAACCTTGATATTATATCCTACTTTTTTTCTCCGTAAATTCTTTTTTGTTACACTAAATGAATAAATATTCAAAAACTATTATTTTACTTATAAAATCTTTCTTAAAGCTTATTTTCATGTTGCATACTGAAGTGGTAAATACGCTGGATGGATGCTATTAATAATGAAAGTTGGATTTTTCAATGGTTTATCACTACATAGGGCCAGATTAACTAAATTGCTTCGACTCCATTGTCTGAGCAAAGAAAATTTTAATGATATATTTCAAGTATTTGTACTTTTGGTCCATTATCAATGATTTTAAAAGGTTAATTTCATGAATAGAATTATTATCTAACTAAATTGGAAATTTAAGTGCTCATTTATTAGTTGATTTCATCTACTAATACGGTGGCTCGGGTTTACAAATAACCATATATAATTGCCATTTGTAGATCACGAGGAGACTATCATACATTCATGCTATAAATTCAAAATCCCACGGTTTACACTTTTCTACTTCAATCAGTCTATGATTTAACCCGATCCTCATCCAACGTTACCGATGAGTCATTATGTCGATTTCAAACTTCATTGTCTCCACATATTATAGTTTTCTATCAGAATAAGCGAGTTCAAAACTAAGATGAAATAGCTATCCAATGGTTATGATCCATGACGTTTCATTCAAGTACACAAGCTTCATATACGCTTGCTCAACCAGCTGAGTGAGAAGACTGGGAGGCGGTAATTAGCGAATTGAGTAATTAGGTGTACAAAATTTTGCTATATATACATTTTATCTTCTAACTCAGACGAGTAAATTTATGAAGTGATCTTAAGTAGAAAAATAATCGACTTCCCTCAATCATGTGTCTCGTTCACGATCTCGCATCTACAGTTTAAACTTGAAATAGCACTTGGGGGGTAGGCAAATGGTATACTTAAACTGACCAAGCCTATTATTAGTGCTTCCTGATTTCAGGGTTTCCTAAGTTGTCGTCAATTCATGATTAAAACAATATCTTCCATAGTTTTCTTCAAGCATGAAAAGTAAATTCAATTTGCTGTGTTACAGTCGTAATCGAAACACCGGTTATGTGAGGAGGACCCACGGGTGAACTCGAAGAGGCTCTGGGAAGCTCAGAAAGAGCCGAAGACATACATTCATACATTCACAAAAGTTAACATCCTTTTTAATTTCTTCGCGTACCGGTCCATTCGTAACTACTAGAATGCCTTTTGAACAGATCTGGGAATTTCTATTGAATACACTACATTCAATACTATTACTTATTCTATTTGGCACAGAAATGGAGTAATTTACTGGGTAATCGATGAAGTGTCCAAAGACTACATGGACCGATTTAAAGTTCAGGGTATGGCAAGAAAAGGTGTCCAGGGTGATAAAACTTCTACCCATTTCCTTGCATTCGTCATCAAGGATGTGTTTAATCTGTCGATAAATACAACTTTCACAAAGAAATCTATTTTATTGCCGTATGAAAATCTAAAGGAATTATTGATCATTCATCTGAAAAGTACCAGTCTTTGAATGCAGAGTGAAATTTGACAAAATGATTGATTAAGGTGACCAAAACACCAAAGATTTTATTCCCGAACTCCAAAAACAAACCAAGGAACGTTCGCTACAGAGGTAATCGAGCTCTGGCTTACGTGATAAACAAGAAATAATCACACTACCATTTAAATACACAGTACCGTCAGGACTAATGAATAAATGCTCATTTATAGCAAAATAAACAGGCTATCACATAGCCAAAAAGATCACAAATCATCAACTAGTAAATAAAATCCCACTGCTTAAAAGAAAAAAAAATATTGAACTGAAACATGAATTCATAGACGTGCAAGCAAACAATCTGTATAATGCATTTGAAACGTTTCACATGTAATTGAATTCCCTTTAAAGTCACCGGAAAACTGATACTATATTAATCGATAATATTTATTGTATTTCTACCATTGAAAAGAGTTTTTCTTCATTATGGCTGAAATTAAATATGTCATATGATTTTCAGTAAAAATGTAAATCTTATTGGTGCATTATACACAGCAACGTATCTTGTTTTAATATAATTTGTCGTTTATAAAATATCACAGGTAGTATGTATAAATTAACGAAATTCAAAGTATCGATAATCTCATATTGAGAGACGATACATTCTATAAAAAAAACAATTGGAAACAGAATATTATAGATTTTTGTATGATTAAACTTTGTGAAAAATATCTTTCGTTTTGTAGATAACTTAATGGACTTTGAACTGCTATTTTATATGAAATATAGTATTGAATAGATCAAATGACGTATTTCATTTAGTTTTATAATTACTGTGCTTAGTTGTATGAAGTTGTGAAATACTGAATAGTTTTCTTCTGATGAGTAAAAATGAACAATCATTACTTCTACCCCACAATAAACATATTATATACTAAACTTACAAGGAACGCTCGATATGTTTTACAATGAAATATTATACTACATAACGAATAAGTGTTTACGGAACAATGAACAGTGATAAGTAGCTCCAGAAGAATTATATTGAAACATCAAAAGACAATAAATTAAAATCAATTTCACTTCTGTTCAACAGCATTGACATAGAAACAACAGAAATTTATAGTAACAATCCATATATTTCATAATTAGTCTTTATTATTGTTCAAATATTACAGCCCCTTTTTGTTGACATTTAATGTACTGTCAACCAACGTAGTATCTTTGCACTGCGGCATATTTAAAACATTCGTATAACAGCCATTCAGATTTCCTGCTAATTAACTTTGTCTATTGGGTTGTAGCTGTGCATGTCACTCCCTTATCGATTGGTCCGGTCATTTGAATGCAACGATAGATTAGAAGTCTTTATTTCATCAATTGAAATTACAAATTGTAAGTACTAACGATCCCGTCGACAACAGTTTTTTCATCCTAACTAGATTATTATAATTAAAAAGCTGTTCATTGTCACTAATTATCAATATTTGGTGGTACAATGGACAAAATGAAAAAATTCTAGCTTTCATAATCTTGGAATCCGAAGAGACGGATATAAAATGGATTTCGACGTTTGGTTGTATTACTTTGGTTCACAGCTTAATTGATTATAAAAGTGATATAACGGACTGCAACATACTGTTAATTAGGAGCCTCGGTTTAGTAAGTAATTGCCTAAAAATGAATTTCTTGAATAAGCAACTATACCGTCGCACACAGTCTAATCAGGACTATAGTCAGAACAGATCACTAGCATATAACCAATTATCGTAATCTGTTTCTAAAGTGTAAATCATGGCCATTAAGAGTTGAAGATACTCGTAAGCTACCAGTTTTTGACCACAGATGCCTTAGAAATATTGCTTGCATCTGCTGGGATCACCGGGTAAGTAATAGCGAGATTAGACGCAAATTATTAGGGAGTGATGGTAAATCAGTTGATGAGGTTGTTAATCTTCATCGACTGAGATGGTTAGGCCACGTGTTACGTATGCCCGAACACCGATTACCACGACGTGCAATGTTAACCGGTGCTGGAGATGGTTGGAAGAAAGTTAGGGGCGGCCAAACCAAAACGTGGCATCAGTGCTTGAAGTCACTAACTTCTAGTCTGAGCCGTATTAGTAGATGCAGACTACTTGGTTGGGATCCGCGTGACTATCGTAACCAATGGTTGAAGACTCTTGGTGACATGGCTCAGAATCGGTCACAATGGCGTCGGTGTATACACTCTCTGTCTTCCCTTAAACTAAGAGATTAAAATCACTTCATATCTTTCTTCATTCCTGTACTGTACTCTTATATGCAATCTTTCTTCTATATATTACCCCCATTGAAGTAACTAAGTCTATGAATCCAGCGTCCATCTTGCTGTGCTATTGCGGTATGGCAACTTGGACCGATGCATATATGTGCCTGGTCCTACGTTGTAGCTGACTGACTGACTAATACGTCAGAGAAGGTACTGCCAAGTATTTAGAGTATAACAACCAAATTGGGCTTAAATAATTAGTTGGTGAGATTATTGAGAAGAAACAGGTAAGTAACGCTTTTCCAGATAGAAATTCTGGAGATTGTAGTTTCATCTGCTCTCCATTTATCCACTTTTCATTATTACATTTAGCGAGTGACATTAAGCCTCCCCCCGTTAACTTTTAGTGAAGTCGAGACCATGATTAGCATGTGAAAGTCAACGACTTTCAGAATGATTGCTTGAAATGTGTGATACTGAATTTTAGGGGCTGAATGTAATTTAGACCCCACCATTATTAGTCCCAGTCTAAATGAAACGGTCCTACCGTTACAATCACAGAACAATCGGCTTGACATATACAATTTCTAACACAGTCTTGTATTCCAACGTCTGAGACTTGTAAAAATAAAATCCAAATAATCCAGGGTTTTACAAGTATGGCTGTGAATGTATACACTAAATACTTACCGCTTATCAGGGTTTACAACTCAAGCGTACCCACCAAATCTGATTGCCTATCTTTATGCGAAGACTACGCTTTACTTGCATAACAACAGATAATTCGTAACACCCAACATATCATCCATCGACGACTTAGTCTTGTTTCGATTACTAAGTATAATTTCAGAGATCAGTCACTACATAATTGCATTTCGATGTGATAAATGCTTAACTCAGTCAATCCCTGGTGAATAAGTGACAGTAACGTTCGGATGTAGTTGTAGACTATGACAGAAGAGAGTAAATAACATACAGATAAATTGTAGCTGTAGAAGCCTAAGAGTAGGGAAATGAATCTATCAATATTATAATGGACAAATAAAATACCATATTTGTTGGAGAATCTAAGTGCTGTTGTCGATAACAAGGAGATTAGCATGATTCTTATTACGAGATTTTAAGATATTTCTCGAACAACTCCCGTCAGTAGAAATCCTCAGTGTAATAACTAGCTAAAACCACAGAAGATAGCTATATAGCTACTTTGGTTTAGAAAAGGTCCGCTAGAAAGTGAAGAACAAACTTAAGAGGTCATGCTTGTAATTGCGACGTCACAGCATACATCAATCCCTATTAAAAACCACTCATATGCTGGTCAAGTCATCTTAACCTGTAAAGCAAACTTTGTCGAAAGTAACTTTATGCACTAAGAAATATCCCTTAAATATCAAGAGACTAGGAATACATAAATATTATTATATTCTGAGAACAGGACAAAAACAAATATTGGATGATTAAATAAGATAGATTTTGTATCAAAATGATTTAACAGTAACTTACACAAAGTAATAGTTTCTAACTCTTAAATGGAGAATGGATATTGTAATTGAAGAAAAAGTTACTGCTTCTCTTGAGGTGGGACGATAACTACGGGAATATGAGCGTGGTGAAGTACATAATCGCTAACACTCCCCAAGAATGTACGACGAATAGCTCCAAGACCACGATTGCCCATCAGAATAACGTTTGCCTTATGGTCTGAAATTGCTTTTACCAGAGAGCTACCAGGTTTGGTATCAACATGTAAAAACGCCTTAGCATTGAGCTTGTGACTTTTAGCTTCGTGCATATACTTCTGACCAAGCTTTTTACCTTGTTCAATGCTTTCTTCCATAACTCGTGTCATGTCAGGTATTGGAGGAGATTCCATTGTCATTCCAATGGCTGGAGTGTTATAAACTGGCTCTATTACGTGTACAAATGTTAGGCAGTCAGTGTCACGTTTCATATTTTCCAAGTACCAACGAAATGCTCGATCACAATGATCACTGCCATCAATCGGGATCAAAATCACACGAGATGACTCGCCAGCATCAGCCATAATTCCTCAACCTATAAATGTTAAACAATCGTTTGTTATATAACGAAACAAAAGCAAAGATTCCAACCAATTAAATTGCGATATCATATTAGTTAAAACATTGATATACAGACAGGTCCTCACAGCCAATATTGTTGAAGCATCGAACAATCCCTAAGTGTAATGACACATCAACAAGTCAGTTTTATCACACAGCGATATCAACTACAAGAACCAATGAAAACTAGGCATTATTTGTTCGTTTTCACTTTTGATTTCATCCTGCTAAAATAAAACGTTGATGTTCTAGTGCCCCATGTAAAAAAACAGTTTTCCATGCTTACAATATTTCACTGAAGCCATAGTTAAAACAGTATAAGATTAATTCTATTAAATTCAGTGTTTGCTTAAATTGTTGTTGTAGTAATGCCTTCTACTAAGTGTCTTGCCGATGTACCCATCTTTCCGTTGTCTTTCAAGACTTCAAAGTGAGCGATATGTATTTACTTGACTTGGATTAACTTTGAACCCTAAATAAATATGTTTCTTTTAGGAATAATAACGTTTCATTAATGGTGGACTTATTTTTACTCCGTCTTATTCACTTCCGTAGTTTGATGGGATACATTTCCAATTCCTGATGATAGGATATTGTAATTAACGGTTACTTATTGCTAACTCAACTCCGCCTGAAGTCCCTCCGGGGGCTACTGCCGGTCCCAAGGCCGGATGAAGGAGGAGGGTTGGGCATGGGGTTAGCGTCCCCATCCCGTAGAAAACTAACTCGCTAAAAAACATTAACCAGAAAAAATTATTCAAACCTCTTAAACTCTGCCCTGGGAGTCAGAAGGTCTTCATTTAGAAGAACTATGACACCTCATGATGAAAGCCGAATTCCTTCGGAAGTTACGAGGCCGATGCCCCTTCTGACAACCAGAGCGACCATTTACTTAGGTGCATGGAATGTTCGTACAATGTGGGACACCGTGAGAGTCTTCCAAATTGCTGCAGAAATGAGAAGATACAACCTAGAGGTGCTTGGGATCAGTGAAACACATTGGACGCAGGTTGGACAATAACGACTAGCTTCAGGAAAACTGCTGTTATACTCCGGCCATGATGAAGAAAATGCCGCACATACACAAGGAGTTGTATTGATGCTGTCCAAACAAGCACAAAATGCACTTATAGGATGGGAATCTCATGGACCAAGGATCATCAAAGCCTCGTTTAAAACAAAGAAAGAGGGCATTTCAATGAACATCATCCAATGCTATGCGCCTACTAACGACTACAATGAAGACGCTAAAGATCAATTCTACAATAGGCTGCAGTCAATCATCGAGAAGTGCCCAACAAAGGACCTGACCATTCTGATGGGCGATTTCAATGCCAAGGTTGGAACGGACAACACTGGATATGAAGACATCATGGGACGGCACGGACCTGGAGAAAGGAACGAAAATGGTGAGAGATTTGCAAACCTATGTGCCTTCAATAAACTGGTCATGGGCGGCACCATATTCCCACATAAACGCATACACAAAACCACATGGACTTCACTGGATCACATCACGCAAAACCAAATAGACCATATTTGCATCAATAAAACTTTCAGGAGGACGATAGAAGACGTGAAAACCAAGAGAGGAGCTGATATAGCATCAGACCATCACTTGCTGGTCGCCAAGATGAAATTGAAACTCAAGAAGCACTGCACAACGGGGCGGACAATATCACAAAAGTTCAATACGTCCTTTCTTCAGGATACTGACAAACTCAACAAATTCAAGATAGACCTCAGCAACAAGTATAAGATCCATTTTGAATGCTTTGTGTGTTTGTGAAAATCCTTCCATGTATATACTTGCACTTTGTTCCTATTGATCCTCTTAGTTGTACATTGTTAACTTTTTGGCTACATTTGAGTTTTACTTAATTATAGTTTTTATTTTTATTACGCCTTCACTGAGTCTCCATGTTTCTTCCCGAACTGCACTTATGTTGTTTTACTTTATACTAAGTCTGGGCGGCAGCCATATTGGTTTGTTCCTGCTTTTGATTGATTGGCCTGTGTTGACTGGAATCGTGCGTTTTGGTTGTAAATTGAGGCACTATTCCAGAAGTGAAAACACACTGTGTTATAGAGCGACCAATTATTACCTTTTGAACGAATCTGTACGTGATCTATCCAGACAGGATAGAATAACATTTATTTGTGGTGATTGGTAATTTCCTTGTATCCTTTATCAACTTTCTTACTTATTGTAATTTAGATTTGATCAATTGAACAATTATTGGTTAGATAGATCGTGTACAAACCAAATCGCAACTCTACGGATCATTGTGGAACAATCAATTGAATGGAATTCATCACTCTACATCAACTTCATTGACTACGAAAAGGCATTTGATAGCGTGGACAGAACAACACTATGGAAACTTCTTCGACACTACGGCGTGCCTCAGAAAATAGTCAATATCATACAGAACTCATATGATGGATTACACTGCAAAATCTTGCATGGAGGACAGTTGACAAAGTCGTTCAAAGTGAAGACCGGTGTTAGGCAAGGTTGCTTACTCTCACCCTTTCTCTTTCTCCTGGTGATCGACTGGATCATGAAAACGTCAACGTCCGAAGGAAAGCGCGGGATACAATGGACATCTAAGATGCAGCTGGATGATCTAGACTTCGCAGACGATCTGTCCCTTCTATCCCAAACGCAACAACAGATGCAGGAGAAGACGAACAGTGTGGCAGCAGCCTCAGCAGCAGTAGGTCTCAATATACACAAAGGGAAAAGCAGGATTCTCCGATACAACACAGAATGCACCAATCCAATCACAATTGACGGAGAAGATTTGGAAGATGTAAAAACCTTTACGTATTTAGGCAGCATCATTGATGAACAGGGTGGATCTGATGCAGATGTGAAGGCGCGGATCGGCAAAGCAAGAGCAGCATATTTACAACTGAGGAACATCTGGAACTCAAAGCAACTGTCAACCAACACCAAGGTCAGGATTTTTAATACAAATGTCAAGACAGTTCTACTGTATGGGGCAGAAACCTGGAGAACTACGAAAGCCATCATCCAGAAAATACAGATGTTTATTAACAATTGTCTACGCAAAATACTTCAGATCCATTGGCCGGACACTATTAGCAACAACGTACTGTGGGAGAGAACAAACCAGATCCCAGTGGAGGAAGAAATCAGGAAGAAGCGCTGGAAGTGGATAGGACACACATTGAGGAAAGCACCCAACTGTGTCACAAGACAAGCCCTCACATGGAATCCTGAAGGTCAAAGGAAAAGAGGAAGACCAAAGAACACATTACTCCGGGAAATGGAGATAGACATAAGAAAAATGAACAAGAATTGGATGGAACTAGAAAAGAAGGCCCGGAACAGAGTGGGTTGGAGAATGCTGGTCGGCGGCCTATGCTCCATTAGGAGTAACAGGCGTAAGTAAGTAAGTATTGCTGACTCATCTTTCATAGTCATCAAGGTAAACTGATTTATGTTGATGAAAAGTGATTTATTCACTTGGTTAAATGGTTCTACACTCAGTAAAGATTATCAGTATAAGGTTGTGGAGATTTTCGAGTTTTTATTGTGGTCGTGAACCGATCAATGCTAGATAACCATTGAAAACCTGGAAGCACTGGACGACCGTTTAGTCCTAGTGTGGAACCTCTCAGCAGTGTACACCCACAATCTTGCACGTGGGACTTGGACCTATAGACCACTGAGTCGGCAACCAACGGTGTTCATGTCTGTTCATGTGTAAATTGATAAGTTCAAATAAAATGGAGAATGGGTAGAATGTTAGTAACAAAATAATGATACATTTCTGATACCTCAATGTGTAGAACTTCGAATTCCTTACGTTTCAAGACTTACATTAGGTCGCTTCTTTTGAGTAGATAAATAGCCGAATTCAACACAAGTACAGTATACTAGAACAAGACGGAATACTTAGTTGCGACTAATTACATTGTGGTACAAAGTCTGTAAGTCAATATGGTATCATTCTTTGGAGTCATATAGAGCTACATCTTTATCTTAGTAAATATTGACCTTCTAACCGGTATTCATTGGGATAAAAGACTAGTACAAGTTTAGAACCGTATCAATTAAACTATTCAGTTATATATTAATGACTGAATAGTTTGTCAATTTCAGCGATAACATTTAGGTGATTCGTTCATTCGTCATTGAAAACATAAGTAATAACTTATTCAAATGTGATGTATTTTTTGGTACAAAACCCTTCTTCAAATAGATTCAAGTACTAGTAGCTATCAAAAACTGTTGATCATAGTTATCAAATTAATAAATAAAAGAGGATCTCATTTGAAATTCATTTAAAATTAATTATTTTAATTCCTTTTTTTTCATGGACTAAGAATGATATGAGAGAGTAGTAGCAAAATGTGACCACAATATTTTGTTTGAACACATTAATTTAGTATATAAATTAAATTTTATATTCTAACGATTACTGTTGTTATTGCATAAGAGATCCAAATTAGTCTGACATCGTCGTGCATTGTATCTACTGGTTTTGTTTAAATATTAACATTTTGAAAGCACTACTACATATAGCAGTAAAATATTTCACTACATATTTTGTTCACCTTAATTTGATGATAAATTACTGTAATGGTTTACTGTCCTATTGCATTTAGTAGAGTTCGGATGATAAGTGATAATTGTCTAAAGATCCTCTATTAAGACATACTTTTTTATTAATAACTGTTAGATGCTTGAAACGACTCAACAATTTTCTAGAATCACAAACTGATCTTATCTAGATCACCATTAAAAACCTGGAAGGACCATTTTCATGCTATTCCTATATTAGGACGAAACATCTGTCCATTGCTTCCAGGTTCCCAGTGGTAGTCTACCTAAGATCAATCGGTGATTTAAACTATCTAAATCCTACAGTCTCCACAAATCCCCCAAACTTAAATTTTTTAGAAGTTGGTAAATCGCGTTAAACTGACTTTAAGCAATCAATATTTTTGAAATGTTCTAACGAAAATCTAGAAGTCAACCCATTATGCCTTCCTCTGATCTAATTGGCCAAGTATTGAATTTACTAAT